TTTACTTGAGTACATTTTTGCCTGTGTATTTGTACTTTTACTTAAGTACATTTTTTGAGTACTTTCTCCACCACTGCTGACAACTGATTTCTAGAAGGCGGTTCTGCAAGGCTTCCTGGTGTTGCGTGCATTTACTTGGAGGGAACAGATCCCATCTTTTAGTCTCTTTTTAAAGGAGTAAACATTTTTAATGAGCAAAAATAAAGATATTAGAGGAAGACTAGATATATATCTGTGACGCTATGTTGTGGTACAATGATTTCTCTGGTTCTCTCAAGGTAATTGTAATTTGTGTTATTGTAGGAGTGCAGTTACAGCTCCCTGAAAATTCATCAAGACTCCTGATAAAGCTATCTGGAATAATTACTAAAGATTTAAATCATATGTTATTTTTTTTTTATCTATTAGAAATACAGACAGATTGATTAATTAGATGCCTGCACTTTCAGCTTTATGAAACTTTTCACATGCTCTTATATCAATTTTGCGACTGTTTCATATGATCGAATTTTGGCATTTGTGGCTTTCCTTCCGAATTGTTCTAATTTTAGATTTTCTGCTTGTTTAGATTTGAGCTCCTGGTAGGAATGTTGATCTGAAGCTTCTGCTAAGGTAGAGAAAGTCAGTCGGAGTTAAGGGAGGTTACGCCAGTGGAGGTCTTTGAGTACTTCTTAGAGGACAGAACTATGTGAAAAATCTGCTGTGTGGTTTAGATAAATCCAGCCAGCTGGGTCAAGTCCTGACAGGTCAGGGCATTCAGCAGATAAGACGCTGGTCAGCTTATCTGCTGCTGCTGTTATACAGCAGGAGCACCTTTAATGTTCTTCTAAAAAAGTTAAATTAATAATGATATTCATCAATGGAGCACCTATGGATTGATTATATGCTAAGTATCAATGAAGTAGCGCACCTTTATGGACGAGGGTGGAGGGATTGGGTTATTATTATTATTTATTTTTTGTTTTACCAACAGGCCTAATTTGAGAACAATATTCTTGACCATAATTTGATCATGTGAGGGCTCATGCTCTACTGTGTCCTGGTCCAACAGCTTCAACTATAAAGAATCAAAAGGAATCTTGAGAAAATCACTAATGCTGCAAGAGAATAATCAACAGAAAGGAGAGATGGTTAAAAATAATGATTAATCAACCAATTAGGAACAATACCAATAGATTCATCAACTACTAAGATAACCAGAAGCTGCAGTTGCATTAAGTCTCCACAACTTGACTCTTAAGTGCCTGTAATGCAGATCTCTGTATTTCCCAGCACAAAAAACTCAAGCTCTGCAGCAATTTCCCTTTTACATACTGCTCAAAAAAATAAAGGGAACATTTCACTTTAATTTTGTGTGTGGCTCCAAATCCAGGCCTCCATTGGTTAATAAATTTGATTTCCATTGATGATTTTTGTGTGATTTTGTTGTCAGCACATTCAACTTTGTACAGAACAAAGTATTCAATGAGAATATTTCATTCATTCAGATCTAGGATGTGTTATTTGAGTGTTCCCTTTATTTTTTTTGAGCAGTGTATATATCATCCTGTTACCCAACCACTTTCTCCATTATTTTCCAGTTACAGATAAAATAAAAGCAACTGTGATAAAACTGAAAAGCAATCCAACTTTAATAGCACACAAAGCTTTCCTATGCCATCCCTTAACACCTTTAACATCAGGTCACAACAATCAAATGGCCACTGGCAACGTTTCCTTTATCTTAAAGAGCACTTCAGAGCAGTAAGAATGAACAGACAGCTCTGGATTTAATTTGGTTATGCAACATAAACATGCAGTGAGAATGGCTGGTTTGCTTTGCAAAGAGCTGGAGCATCTGGAAGGGGATATCAGTGGAGAGGAGAGTTTGCATAACGAGTAAACCAACGCAGTTACAGCCAGTTTCCGTAGCATCCGACGGTCAGAAAGGTCAGACAGCTGCTGCTCTTTACACCATTTTTGTAGTTTTTAGTCTTTTTCTACTCGTGCAAGTCTATAACTGAAGAGTACAACCCAATGGTGCCTTAAAGCACCTGAATAAAATGAACGGCTTTTCAGGATGATTTCCAACACTAGACAAAACCAGTGACCATGTTCAAAGGGCTAAAAACACCAGCTGGAGTGGCAGCAAAGAACACAGCGTTTGAACACAAGTTTGGGCCAACATCGATATATAATGTTGTTTTGTGGTCAATAACACATATTTGACAATGCTATATATTTCCTTAACATTACGACACCATGAAAAATGACCAAGTCGCTGACGTTGCTCCCATGATTCTCAGAAGTGTGAGCAACCATCAGCACTCAGACCAAGTCCAATGATTCTGATTAAGAAACAAATGACAAAAACATTAGTCATGTCCTTTAAAGAAAGATATTTATGTCAAAAATCCAGTTGAAATCCAGTTGTTTTCATCTGCTAGTGAACGCCAAAAAAAATATAATAGACGTTGCCAAAGCCTACTGGTGTGGCAGTAACTTTAACATGACTAATCTACAAGGAAGGTGTTTTTTTTTTTTTTTTACGGGAAAGGAGCTAGATAAAATGCATTTTCATGCATGTTTGGGTGGTCCTGCATGCATTTCAAACACTTAAATATAATTTTTAAAAATCTGATGATACAAAAACCAGCTACGTATGGACCATGCAGGTGATCGCTGGTGAGCTTTAGGAGCTCCAGAGACGAATCAGGGAACAAGGGTTGTGATCGATACGCCAAACGGTCTCAGGAGGAACAACATGACCTGCTGTGATCATTTCTTCAGATTGCCCTAGAAAAAGGAAAGATGTTGTTCTCATGAGAACCTGAAAGGAACAGAAACCAAGTATGATCTTTTACTAGCGGCAGCAAAAACAAAAAAAAAGTATATAATTTTCATGAATAGCCATTGTTTTTCTCTGTGTAGGTTTTCTTAGTGGACGTTAAAACATTAAAATAGTTTAATTATTCTCATTCATCCTTCATTTCTAAGAAGTAAAGAACATCATTGCATTAAAAACTTATTTAGAGTTGATATGATACAAAATGTTTTGAGGGAAGTCTTTGGAGTCTTAAAAAAATCCCTGTGTCAAATTGACCCGGGAACAATATTGCTGCACTGCAGAAATGAACATAATAAGAGATTTAAAGACCTTTCAGTTCTCCACTGCATCACAGTCACATATTTAAAACAGTTGAAAAATCCCTTCTCTTCCCCTCCAGCAACACAAAGGACAATGAGATGCAAATAACCACTCAGCAAACACATTTCTGACTTTGCTACGTCAGAGAATCTCCCAGGCTTAATATCGAAAATGCAAGAACTGAATCATGAAAAACTGTAGAAATTGAGATTTTCCAGTTTGTTTTATCCACATTGGTCCTAATACTCTGTCGTAGATGTGTTGGTCTGAAATGTGTACGGTTAGAGTTGGACGGCACATATGTTGGCAAACTGTCTCTTTTTATTATTCTCTGAATGTGAGAATCTGGTTGCCTACATGTGCCAGAGCATGTTTGCTCTACAAAAGGAAATATCAAGATGGAAATTTGAAACTGTATCCAGTTTATTAAATCAAAGCTGGATTCAAGCAGTCATTCGGATCATCCGGTTCATTACACGTTGCAACCAACTCAAAGGTCCTGATGCAAAATTAACCCTGCAGCACAACCAACCCCAATCCACCTTTGAAAGAGGTAGTAAATACGCTGTACGAACTGGAAGAGTGGAACGAATGTGACACAGCGCAAAGTAAAGGCAGCAGGGTCAGACTGCTGACATCATGTGGTTGCATGTTTGGTACAGAAGTATGATCCGAAATGACGATCAATTATTTACAAGAGAAACCAATGCAAGCTGCAAAGAAACCACTGCCCCCATTAAAGCAGGTCATCTCTGTCCACAGGACATGAGAAAACAGCATAGAACAACACACTGCTGCTGCTACTGAGTCGTTTCAAGTCGAGTCGAGTTAATTCACTCAGGACAATCCAGCAACAAGGCAGTTTCCAAGTGCTTTACACCAGAAAAACAGACAGCAATTACGAAACAAGCAATGAACATTACGTTTTGTCAAATGCTGTCATCAAAATCATAAAGCGTGTAAACATCAAATATGTCGACCAATGTTCCAGTTACCATGAATCAACAGCATCTCTAAACAGGAAGGATCTGAGTTTTGATTAAAAGGAACTCAGTTTTGTAGTTTTGTAGTTGTAGGGAAGTTTGCTCCAGATTTGTAGTGCATAGAAGCTGAATGGTGCTTCTCCATGTTTGGTTCTGGGGTTGCAGAGCAGAACCAGAACCAGAAGACCCGAGAGGTCTGGAAGGTTAATACAACCACAGCAGGTCTTTATTGTACTGCGGTGCTAAACCGTTCAGTGATTTACAAACTAGTAGTAGGACTTCAGAACTGGAGTAATGTGCTCTGCCTTCCTGGTTTTAGTCAGACCACGAGCAGCAGCAGCGCTCTGGGTCAGATGCACCTGTCTGACTCATTTCTTAGGCAGTCCTGTGAAGACACTGTTGCAGTAATCAGAGAACTAAAGACGGATCTTGTGGCTAAAGTTCTTTAGAAACATTCTTGAGGTGATAGAAGGCTGACTTTGCAATTGTCTTTTTGTGGCTCCGTAGTTTCAGGTTGGAGTCCATCACTACACCCAAGTTTCATTTCTCTTCAGCTGGTTTTAGTAATTCAGTAACATGAGAAAACAGTAAGAAATGCTGATTAAGAAATGCTGATGTTACACATAACGAAGGATTATGTTAACCTTTAATATAAAGCAGACATATTGCTAGACCTATCAAAGGAGTGTTTGAATTTGGCAAAAAGGATGTTGATGTATGAAATGTCTCCTTTTTAAGAGATACAAAACCTATAGTTTTAATAGAAAAACGTGATAAAATGGTTTACAAAGGTGTAAAAAAAAAAACTAATTTATCCTGATTCCGCTTTTCTTGCCACACAGTTAATTAAAACACATTATGAAAAAAGTAATTTCTCTTTTATTTTGAGCTACATCTTTTCTGAAAACGGTTTTCTGTCAAGGTGCTTCAGAGCAAAATCAAGTGACAGGGTACCTTCAGGCACTCCACCATTCATTTTCAGACTTTTCTGAAAAATTTCTGAGCTCAGCGCACACCATTTTTCTCTCATCACTGCAATTACTGTGAATGAGCTACAGATATGAATCGCGGTACTAAATGAGACGACAAATAGCCCTCTCATATGCTTCAAACGGTTTTTGGATCGGCCTTACGAATCCTGAACAGGAAGGAGTTGTTCGGACAGCTTTTTTCATCAAAATTGACTGGGTGTCTCATAAAGTTAGATAAGTCTGACACACACTCAGGGCAGTTTCATCACTATAGCAACAGAATACAGAGATAGGGAGAACTGCTGGGGTTTGGACTACAAAGACTCTGTAGTTCTAAACATGGCGGAACACTTTAATACCCAGGGCAGACCAGAAGGTCAGAACTACAACATGGCGGAACACTCAATTATTACAGAGGAGGGCTGAGCTGGCAGTTAAAACAACTTGCTGTTTTTGGCATTATACAGGTAGATTAACCAAACCACTGTTACACATTGGATTAGTGTGGTTATGAAAATTAAGTTTACTGAAAGTTTCAAAATAAAACTCTGAAAATTGCACTGACAAAAGTGCATCGCCGGAAGCGATGCAAAAATGAAAATCTTTTTTTTATGTTTTTTTTTTTAGGATAGTAAACTGCCTGCCGCAGCAAGGCAGTTCATTAACATTAGCATTTCATGGTTGTCTCAAAGATTGAAATCCTTCCCCAGCTT